AAATATGACCAGCTGTGGAAATTGCAAGCTACATACCATGTGAGTTACATACACAGGGAGAGGTTGTTTTTAAAAAAAAAAAAAAAATTCTGGCTTGCAAAGACAGATTTATTCTCATTGCCACTTCTAACCCTGTCAAATAAAACTGTTCCAGATTGTGAGGTCAGGAATACTTCATGGTACGTTTTAATGTGAAAGCTTAGAATTTGTACTCTAAAGTAGGGTAAAACATGATTATATTCATTTATTCTCTATTAGAAACATCATACCATGCTATATATTTTAAAAGAAAGATAAAGCATGTCACATCTTTGTACATGTATCTTCTAAATGGGCACATGGAAGTCACTATTAGGTGTCAACAAATAGCCACACAATCGAAATAAGGTGACCTGTATATAAACATATAATTGTACTCTTATAAATATATATTGTTGGGGCTGGGGATATGGCTCAAGCGGTAGCGCGCTCTCCTGGCGTGCGTGCGGCCCCGGGTTCAATCCTCAGCACCACATACAAACGAAGATGTTGTGTCCGCTGAAAACTAAAAAATAAATATTAAAAAAAAAAGTTCTCTCTCTCTTAAAAAAAAAAAAAGAAAAAAAAAGATTAAAAAAATAATAAATAAATAAATAAATATTGTTTTGAGCTAGGTGGAACATGTCTATCATTCTAGCAACTCAAGAGACTGAGCCGGGAGGATCACAAGTCAGCCTCAGCAACTTAGTGAGACCCTGTCTCAGAATAATAATAAAAAAAATAATAGAAAGAGCAGGAGACGTAACTCAGCAGTAAAGCACCCCTAACTTCAATCACTAGTACCGCATACACACATACACACCCACCATGTATTACTTTTCCTCATAAACATAATGAAATACATATATGAGAGCTATCTTGTAAATAAAATTCAATTTATTTTCACACACTGAGGCTCTGAGAAGAAAAAGACTTTCCAACATATTTTCTTTATGCCTATGTAATTCCTGCATACTTAAATAAAATACTCTCTAACAGAAATCCCGAAGGGAAATAAACTATTTACTCTAATTAGTCTGGCAGCTATTTTTATAGTCAAGGAATGCCAAAGACATTGAGTTTATTTCAAATACATTCCACCCTTTATTCAGACTTGGGAATGCAGCATATAGAGCACTTGGGTCCAAGTTTAAATCCAAACCATCAGAAAGAAACAAATACAGGAAGGAGCGGTGAACTCTGCTCCAGGCAGCATCTGACACAGAGATGTAAGGAAGCAATATTGTAGCAGGTTGGGTGGTATCCCCCGACCCCCGCCCGGAAAAGATATTCCACATTCTAATCCCTGGAACCTGTGAATGTAACCTTACTTTTTAGAAAAGGGGTCCTAGGCCAGGCACGGTGGTGGTACTCACCTATAATCACAGTGACGTGGGGGGCTGAGGCAGGAGGATCACAAATCCAAGGTTTGCCTGCCTGGGCAACTTAGCGAGACCCTGTCTGAAAAATTTAAAAAGGGCTGGGAATGTAGCTCAGTGGTAAGGGCACACCTGGGTTCAATCCTAGTAAAAATGGGGAGGGGCTTTTGCATAAGTAAGAAAGTTAAAGATCTTTCAATGAAATCATCCTGGATTAGCCAAGAAGACTTAAATCCAATGACAAGTGTCCTTCCATGAGATGCACATAGAGACAGACAGGAAGAAGGAGGAGCAGAGACAGGAGTGATGTCGTAGCCACAATCACGGGACAGACAGACTCAGCAGAGTTAGAACAGACTCAAGAATCCTGCTAGAATCTTCGGTGGGAATTCAGCCCTGCCACGCACTGATTTCAAAGTGTGACCTCAGAACTGTGGAGATTTTTTGTTGTTTTAAGCCACCAAGTCTGCCTTCATTTGCTACAGCAGCCCCCGGATCTGAATACCTGTAGCATCCCAACATCTAGAAGATGAAGGATAACAAGCAGGACAATGGAAAGTTAGGGAGATTGATTTGAGTTCACAACAGAGAAAACAATAGGAAGAAAAATTTAATTGTATGTGTGATTTAAAAAAAAACTCTAATTAGATTAAGACTCCCAGAAATATCTTTCCCAGGGTCACTGCACTTGGGACCCTTGAACACCAGGTGCTGAAGTCCGGTGCTCTCTGGAGTTTGGAATGTGGCCTTGGTACTCAGCCTCTCAGAATTCCACGAGAGACCTAGAAGAGCAGCCTTGAGGAGAAAATCATGTCTTTCCCATGCTCACTTGAGCCCAGCTCAAGGGGAATGAATATGAGATTGGAAAATAAATGTGCGCCTTGTGTCCCCTGGGCTTGGGCCTGGGCCACACCCACTGCGGGGTTGAGCCCTTCATGGGTGGGTCTGGCAAGCGGCGAGTCGCCCCGTGAGGGAAAATTCCTCCTAAGGCAGGATTCTCACCAGAAACCCAGGAAACCCGGGCCTCTCTATGGAACGTTAGCTGTGTGTGCACTTATTCTGAGAGAGGGTTTGGGCCTTTATCATCTTTCCAGAGGTCTCCATGGCTCCCAGAAATGTAAGAAATTATGTCCTAAGAATGCAAAGGAAGCCCAAGTGAGCTTGAACTACTAGAAAAAACTAAAAAAAAAAAAAAGAAAGAAAGAAAAGAGACTTTTAAGACCAACTGCCATGAAGGTTCCTGAGAATGAACTGAACTACAAGAAAAAAAAAAAAAAAAAAAGATGTTGACTTATTCCAGGAGCCCACTTTAGGGGCAAGGCAGGGAGAACATTATAAGCAAAAATGAGAAGTTTGGCCCAGGGAAACCTAAGCAGCCTTGCATACGGCTCCCTCTCAGGGGCTCACACAGCAGAGAAAGGCATTTTA